CGGGCAGATCGAATTTGTAATGCTGATCAAGGCGATCTTTATCGAATCAACTTTATTGGAGATTCCCGGAAAACTGCTTTAAAACGTTTATTAAATAAATTGAATGTTTTGCTATGCTGATATTCCTGAGAACACCCCGCCCTCTTTCACATTTTTCTCAATTTTATCAACAAAAAAAAAAAAACCTCCCTCGATTCTCCATCTTCCATTCACAGTTATCCGCCCCTACCGCTTCCTTTTGTTTCCCCCACCCCCAAGTGTCGTCACCTTTGACCCCCAAGTGTCGTCACCTTTGACCCGCACCTCTCCAGTACATCTACAAACTGTCACCCCCCCGACCTGTACTGTTCAGGTTCCTGCAGTCGTCTGCTGACCCACACAGCAAAAAAACTTTGCCCCGTTTCCCAGGGATCTTGTCACCCAACACCGTGTCAGATTTTTCAAGCTGCCGTTTTCTCCGTCTCCGACGTATTCTGTGAGTAGAAGTACAACATGACTGGACGTATAAGATGACTGGAAGTATAAGATGACTGGACGTATAAGATAACTTGAAGTATAAGATGACAGGAAGTATAAGATGACTGGACGTATAAGATGACTGGATGTATTAGATGACTGGACGTATAAGATGACTGGATGTATTAGATGACTGGACGTATAAGATGACTGGATGTATTAGATGACTGGAGGTATAAGATGACTGGAAATATTAGATGACTGGACGTATAAAATGACTGGAAGCATTAGATGACTGGAAGTATAAGATGACTGGACGTATAATATGACTGGAAGCATTAGATGACTGGAAGTATAAGATGACTGGACTTATAAGGTGACTAAATGTATAAGATGACTGGACGTATAAGATGACTGGAAGTATTAGATGACTGGAAGTATAAGATGACTGGAAGTATAAGATGACTGGAAGTATAAGATGACTGAACGTATAAGATGACTGGAAGCATTAGATGACTGGAAGTATAAGATGACTGGAAGTATAAGATGACTGGACGTATAAGATGACTGGAAGTATAATATGACTGGAAGTATAAGATGACTGGAAGTATAAGATGACTGAACGTATAGGATGACTGAACGTATAAGATGACTGAACGTATAAGATGACTGGAAGTATTAGATGACTGGAAGTATAAGATGACTGGAAGTATAAGATGACTGAACGTATCAGATGACTGAACGTATAAGATGACTGGAAGCATTAGATGACTGGAAGTATACGATGATTGGAAGTATAAGATGACTGGACTTATAAGATGACTGAAACTATAAGATGACTGGACGTATCAGATGGTTCCCACCCCCCTAACTTTTCCAATTAAAATATAAAATATGGGAAGTATTCGCCCAATAATATGACCTCAAACAAATGAGTCTACCTCCCCCCCCCCCCCCTCCTCCCCAATTTTCCGATAATAATTTCCCTGGGTCAAAAACTCTCCTCAAATGTAAGAAAATACTTCAGTTTTGTTTTGTTTTTATTTTTAAAAAAAATTCCACCGGACAATGCTAAAAAAAAAAAAATTCCACCGGACAATGCTTAAAAAAAATTGAGGCCAGTTCCAGACGTGTGTCCAGAGTTCATTTCCGCTGACCTGTCCGCAAGGGGAGAGCACTTGACATTCTATCAGTTTGTCAAGTGTTGAAATGACAAGTGCCAAACTTGACAAGAAGCTCTCTCTGGGTTTTTTCAAAGTTTTTTTTTTCTTTAGCTCTTTGGAGGTAAAGAGTTTGATTTCAACATTAAAATTCATCAAAAGGGACGTTCATTTTACGCTGAGATTACGGAATGTAGACCCAGTATATTTCGGCATGACCTTTTTAGACGTCTTGTTATGTATTGTAAACTGTGTATTTAAACAACGGTTAAATTATTTTAAGTTGATTGTTTTAGTAAGTAAAGATTAACCATTACTCCGGTTAGAAAATAAAGGTGTTGCGGCGTATTTAAAGATTTCGACTCTGACTCCTGGATATGTATCTGTGACGTTGGGTGATGTTTTAACTGACTCTGGGATTTTTTCTTCTTCTTCGGTCTTAATTTTTAGTGATGGGAGGGATCGAACTCGAGACGTTTTTTCGAAGTTATCAACCATGAGCTTTGCCGACTCGACCATGCTTCCATCACAATTAAGGATTACGTGTCAACTGGTTATGCGCCATTGAGGCCATTGACTCCGATTTCAGAATGCTTTTCGTTTTGGATTTGCTTCCATAGCCTTTGTCCAACCAAGAACAAACTACAAGGCAGCAGTTGTTTGATTTTAGAGTTGTCTCTCCTAGAATAGTGGCTGTCCCCAGCTAACGAGCCTAATCTGCCCGAGGGTTCGAGCTCGAGACTTTTCGGATTAGCAACCATGAGCTTTACCGACTCGACCACGCCGACCCCACTCTGGGATTTGATCTCCCTGAAGTTTTAGATCACGTGATCCAGAAATAGAATTCACTGGAGTGTTAGTAAACTCTTAGAGATGTATTGTCTTCAAAAATACCCAATCTTACACACCGACTGTTGATGTATTACCATTAAACATGAATTATTACATATTTTTTTAAATATTGTTTAAACCTAGAAGAATGGCGTCACTTCAATTTGAAAAAAAGCGTCACTAGGCCGTAATGGGGGACCGGGACACACCACGAAGGCAGTGCCGACGCCAGGTTATTTAGCACCCTTGGCGTCATCCATAAATGACGTCACGCTTTTTTTGACGATTTTAACCTCCCCCCCTCCCCTCCGTCACACATCGTCACAAAGAGCCAGACCCCCCCCCCCCTAAAATCACGTCACACCTCAGCCTACTTCCCCCCCCCACACACACACAAAATTGCAGCTGAATTTTTATTAAAGCATCGATATTTTTCCAAAACTGTGTCAAAATGGAGTATTTTAATCAATCCCTATTAAATTAAATAAAACAGTTTTCTAAAACGCGAAATAACGTCTAAAATTCGTTTTCTAACATTACTTTCTTATAATGCAAAAGTGTGACGTCGCAATATCTGAAATGTCTATATTGTATAACTATGATAAGATTTTTATTTTTGCTTTTGAAAAATGAAAGGTTATACATGTTATAGATTCCAGCCCACAATTGTTAAATATGAATCCTTTAAGAGAGGGTGAAAAATATGAAAAAGACAATTAATTAGATGATTAATTTGCGACTACAACGATTTTAGACGCATTTGTTTCACTATCTCATACTGTATGTCTACTAATATTAAGTATTGCAATCTACAACGACTAAGATACAGGAGTGTGGAACGAATGTAAAGTTAAGCAATGAATCATCTCCCATTTGGAAACCCAAATACAAAATTTAATTCAAGGGAAATAACCCACAAGAATCGCTAAATTAACAAAGTGTAACTAAGACATGCTTGAAAAACACAATAAAATTATCTAAATGTCATTACGTAATAATTTTAATAAATATTTATATTAGCTAAATAACTTTGTCAAAACAATATATTTTACTTATTAACTACTTAACTGTAGGCTTGTTTGAAAGTCTAAACACGTTAGTTTTCCTATAAAATATTTCTAGTCAATAATGATGTCTTAAATTCGACTGTATTACTGTGTTTGCTTAAAATATAAAAAATTTTGGATCCCCTAAATAAGGGGCCGCGTTTTAAAAAAAATGAATTGAGGGAAACTGTTTAAGACAGGGGTCGGCAACCTGCGGCTCACGAGCCGCATGCGGCTCCTTTGATGGTAAGATGCGGCTCTTCAGCTCCATGCACAAATATTAATAACGAGCTGACCCGCGGCATATCTTACGCCGCTATTTAGTTGTTTTATTTTCTACTTTTCAGTAATTTATAATTTGTGAATTCGACAGTACCAATGCTGCCACTGAAAATATTTGCTATAAAACACTATCAGTAGGTCGTTAAGAACGATACTACCCCCACCCTCCTTTCCCCCAACCCCTACCCTACCCCCCCCCCCCCCCACCCCCACGTGAAAGCAGCCTCCTCTTAGGGGGGCACCCGAAGAGATGCCTGGAATAAACTCTGTTCCCTAACTGAAATATTCATCTTCATGGTGGATATCACAAAGAAACTAAATGAGCTAAATATAAAACGGCAAGGAAAGGGAAACAGCCTATGGTTGATGAAGTGGATTGTTAGTGCTTGAAGCTGAAAACAACAAGTTATGAGCCAGATTTAATCAAAATTTCAAACGGAAGCAATTATTGATTATAGCTATAAAAATAGCATATAATACATAACATATACATCAGGATATTGGCGTTGAAGGGGAGGATATAAAAACTCTGGACTACCCTGCCTGTTATCACTCGCCCTGATCAGATGACACAAATACAGTTTAGTGTCTCTAAACTGATTAGTTCCCTTTATGTATCTATTTGTATTTACTGCGTTCATTTTATCTTTATTTTTAATTAGATGTTTTGTGTGGTTTTTTTTCATAAAATTAAAATAAACAAAAAATTAACTACATGTTCATAAAATTTAATTGTTTTTATTCTTAAGTAAAACTTACTTTATATGAATTACATTTACGTTGTTTCTTTTAAATATTGAATTCTTTCGCTTTATAAAATTTTTTATTTATTTTTTAATTATATATCTAACACGTGTACTTGTTTGTTTAGGATCAAGTAATTAACGAATGTCAGTAGCGAGCAGAGCGGCTGGTGTTGAGGCTACAGTCACATGATAATCTCTGCCCATGTAAGGCATGATCACAAGACGCCAGCGCGGACCCCACCCCAGAACACATAAACTTCCCCAGGGGGGATAACTCTCAACTCACCACCGCCCCAAACAAATATGGCGTCCAACGCGTCACCACTGGATGACGTCACACAACAGTGATTCGGACTTCCGGTCACCACCCGGCACCCAGACATCAGATTAAACTTGGGGAAGAAGGGAAAAAAAACAACCAACTTCCGGTTGACCCTGACGAAAGCTGACCGGCTGCCGGCATGTCACGTGGGCCAACGATGGCGAAGCTGTGCCGGTTCGTCAAGCTGAACGACCGGTTCAACGCTCAGGTGTTCTCGTTCATGTTGTCCGGCAGGATTTTACGGGAGTTTACACCGGATATATACTCAAAGGTCAGTTCTTACCTGGTGGTGGGGGGGGGGGGAGTTTACACCGGATATATACTCAAAGGTCAGTTCTGATTTGGGGGGTGGAGGTGTGGTGGGGGGGGGGGGGAGTTCACACAAGATATATACTCAAAAGTCAGTTCTTATAATGGGGGGGGGGGTGGTGGGGGGAGGGGGAGTTTACACCGGATATATACTCAAAGGTCAGTTCTTACCTTGGGGTGACGGTGGGGGAGGGGGGAGTTTACACCGGATATATACTAAAAGGTCAGTTTATACCTGGGGTGGGGGGGCGGGGGTGGGAGTTTACACAGGATATATACTCAAAGGTCAGTTCTTACCTTGGGGTGACGGTGGGGGAGGGGGGAGTTTACACCGGATATATACTAAAAGGTCAGTTTATACCTGGGGTGGGGGGCGGGGGGGTGGGAGTTTACACAGGATATATACTCAAAGGTCAGTTCTTATATTGGATGGGGGGGGGGGGAGTGGGTTGTAGGGGAGAGGGGGGGGGTGCACACCGGATATATATTTAAAGGTCAGTTCTTACCTGGTGGGGGAGGGGGATATATATTCAAAGGTCAGTTTTTACACCTGCAATATTTTCGCTGACTGAACTCATTGTGTGATGTGTACGTAGTCCCAATATTTGTACCTATCGTCATACCCACCCCCTCTAATGAAGATGTCACACTCTAGGAACCCCCCACCCCCTCCCTCCCAATATTGCGGTTTTTATTATTTGAAAACATCACACCTCACATACATTTTATACACAATAATTTAATTCATCCGAGTCCAAATAAGATGTTGTAATCGTTATAATCACCGAAAAGCTTCGTTTCATTAAAAAGCGAAATTACTGCTGAAAAAATTAATTTTAAAATACGAGTGCGACGTCACACTTTTTTGACCCCCTCCCCCACCCCTACATCCGAACATCCCAACATGAAGTACACGACACCATTAACGGACGAGGCCATTAGGCACTTCATTTAAGTGCATCTGAATTCTCTGTGTATTTGCGTTTTTACCTCATCAGTCCCTACACAAAAAACCAATAGAACAATCTAACAACCGAATTCCCACGGAATATTTTATCACCCCCCGTTCTCATTCATCAAGAATTTAACATCCGATTTCATCCTGTTAAATATTAATCGGCCCAGTTTTAGATCGGGCGCTGGCATGCAAATGTTGCTGGTCGCTCATTGCTACAACGTAGCAAGTTTTCAAAGTGTGGCTACACCTAGCCCGACTTGTGCCATGAACTTGTAGCCACAATGTAGCCACTTAAATGTATTTAAGTCTCAAAGAGTGTGCTATCTAAAGTAGATTACAGTAGATTCGTTGCGATAAATTTAGTTAAAATTAAAACTGTTTTCGGAGGTAAGGGATTATTTAAAGGTTAGATATAAATAAATAAGTTGAAAATTGTTTGTTTAAAAAAAATCGACGTTGGAAGATGTTTATTTTATATAACGCCCCTCTCCCTCCTTTTCCCAACCATCCACCCCCCCCCCCCCCCCACTACTAAAATGAGTTCTTCATTCTATGAATAAATAATTAAGATCGTGCTATGTTTACATTTTGTTTGCTCAAATTTTAATATAAAAACGTGATTTAGCACTTACTCCTTAGAAAACGTCAAATAAATAATTCGTTTTATAATTTACTTGTTATGAATTTATTTTGTCTGGTTACATTTTTGTCCATTTTATTCTGACGTTTCATTCAATCAGAACATCGCTACACGCTGTATGCATCAACTTTCAGGATTAAGTCATGTTGTTGAATGTCATAAGATTTCAGAATCAGTGTTTCTTCCAGACTGTTTTCTTTCTCCGGGGGGTGTGGTGGGGGGGGGGGGGGGGGGGGGAATAGCGGACTAAATTTTCCGGGAGGGGAAAATAAAAGTATATATTTTCAATATTAATTCGTTCGGAGGAGGGGGCAGTAGTCTTTCTTCAGCTCCCCCCTTTCTCCCCCCCCCCCCCCCGAAGAAATGCCTGGAAGAAACTATGTTTGGAATGAATGATTTTTACAAATTAAATTTACGTTTATTTACTCTAAATGGTATCAATACTTTTTCTTTAAAAAGGAATTTTTTTAAAAGTAATAAATGTGCGCGCACCTTTACTTGTCACACATACCACCCTCACCACCCTCATGTGACACAGTTCAAACATGTGTCTCCATCCCCCTCCCACATCTCCCCCTCCCCATGTGTTCCAGTCCTCTCTGTCCTCTAGGACTGTGTACGCTTATCTCACCCCCTCACCCCCCTCCCCCACCTCGTATGTTAAACCACTCACCTCCCACCCCCATGTCTTAAACCACTCACCCACTCCCTCCCCCCCACACACCCCCCATATCTTAAACCACCCCCTATGTCTTATCAACTCCCCCCTCCCCCACGTCCTTATCAACCCCCCCCCCCCCCCCCCGATGTCCTAAACAACTGACCATGTCCTGTCTGTCCTACAGGACTTTGTCTACGGCTACCAGAGATGGAACGTCAGTTTCGTCAGAAGCGACCGGCACATCGGCGCCTTCCTCCGGCTTCAGACGCCGTCTCAGGGTCTTCGGTGCCGGATGGATTTCTCTTTTACGGTGGTCAACAGGTGGGTGGATCAGTCATATGACTTCAGGATATGGTGTATGACTTAAGCGCTTGACTCCAGTTACATATTACTTTTGTACTAGACTTTAGCAACACATTATTTTTGTACTTGACTTCAGTCACGCATGACTTTAGTGCTTGAATTCAGTCACACGTGATATAAGTACTTGACTTAACTCGTACATGACTTAAGTGCTTGACTTCACTCACACATGACTGGAGTACTTAACTTCGCTCACACATGACTTAAGTGCTTGACTACACTCACACATGACTTAAGTGCTTTACCTCAGTCAAACATGACTTTGGTGCCTCATTTCAACTCGACATGACTTTAGTGCTTGACTGCAGTCACACAGGAATTTAAAATTGACTTAGTTGTACATGATCTCATGTCTTATCATTTAACATTTTTTTTACTTCAGAATTTAAACGTAAAATATTTACATGACTTACAGATCGATTTTTTAAGTCATGACACGTGACTTTACTACTTGACTTCAACAAACAGTCAACTTATTCAAGAGTAGCATCCTTAAAGTTTTTTTTAACTGTGCGCCCACCCCCCCTCACTTACCCCACCCCTCCACCGCATAGAAGTTTGAAATCAAATTTTGACAGCTTTATATCCTATAATCAAAAGTTCAGCCCATTCCAAACCTAACACCAACCTCTTTTAATTAATTAAAACCCTCACCTTTAGAATAACTAATTATTTCTAAACTTACCCCCCCCCCCCCCCTTAAATCCCAACTTAAATTTAACCACGGTAATGCGCGTCTTTTCACTTAACCGCTTTACCTCACACAGTTGAGGGAAAGGGAGGGGGGGGGGAGTTAGGAATTCTGTTGAAGAACTGTCAGTGTCGTCATAATTAGTTCCCTAAACGTCTTGTATAGATGTTGCAATAGTTTGACCGGTGACAAATTAAAGGGGATAATCGCTGACAGTTTTATAATTAAAATCTTTTCCAATCAGATATACACTCTCTTTTTCGTTAGAATTTGACTGGGCTTAGAGCTTAAGGGTTTAACAATTGTATGCGTTGGTGCGCCTTATGAATTAAGTTATTGGGCGTTTATTGTGTGCGTTAATGTGTTGTTTATTGTTTCTGTAATATTGCCCATTTAGCAGATTTAATTGAATGTGCTATATCCCCCCCCCCCCACCCTGATGTAATTTACAGCGTCTGTTCGCCTTGCATGTTCGCTTTAGTATTACAGTTTTCATCATCGGCTTGTGAGGACTGATACAGATTTACAATAGTGTTACTCCTTTCTTACTTGTAGCCTACTTTCATTCATTTAAGATGGTTTACTTATACTTAGAACTAATACAACAAAACCTGATAATGCAGATGTGTAATTAAATGATGATTCAAGGGATTTTTTTTTCATCGGCGTGGTGGGCTGAGAGGGTTTGGGCTTTTAAATAGAGCTGGAAATAAATTGGGATTAAAGAAAAATAAAATTATAAAAATTTTAATCAACCAGAATGTTATATAGACTACAATGAAACACATCAAAACAATCATTCTTCCCTTTCAAACAGCTATATCTATACTGCAATAGAGAATTAAGCGCTTGTAAGAAAATCGATTGTAATGTACAATTGAGGCGGTATGGTGTGAATCAAATTTTAATTATATTTAAGATATTAATTAAACGAAAAATCAAGAAATTTACGCTGAATAAAAACTGCATAAAAATTTGTCAATACTAAGTAAGTAAATAATTTAAAAAAGAAAAACTAACAAATGTTCAAATAAATCTGAGTTTAAATATATAGAAATTATCTTCCCAAGGAATAAAAACAAGTTTTTTTATATACGTACCATCGACTAAAAAACGTAATTTACCTTAAAATCTTAGAGAGTAGCTTCCCTTTAAAATAAAGCTCCCAAAAAGATTTTAAACATTTTTTTAGGTTTTAAAGATTTTAGGATTTGAGGTCACTATATAAGACAGAATAACATAAGAGGCGCAGGCCTTGTCCAGAGTAATCTTTTATATTTTCTGCACTTAATTACCTCAAGTTAAGGGCCTAAACACCCAGGGATCGAACTTTAATTTGAATATACGTTTGCATAACTAAATTGAAATTGTACATCAATTGCCCACGAATCTATTTGCCCTGATATATTTTGTCCTGATATTTTTTGTCCTGAGATATTTTTGTCCTTGAGATCATTTGTCCACATGATCATATGTCCTGAGATCTTTTGGCGGCGAGGTATTTTGTCTGAAATCATTTGTCCTATGACAGGGGTCGGCAACCTTTTGAAGCGGAAGAGCCAAAAGTTACAATTTTCAAAATTCCCCTGGTTTTAAAGAGCCACTAACATTTATTTATCTCAAATATTTTATTTTTTGATTAAGATTATTAGTATTTGTGCAAGGAGCTGAAGAGCCGCATCTTGATATCAAAGGAGCCGCATGCGGCTCGCGAGCCGCAGGTTGCCGACCCCTGTCCTATGATAATATCTCCTGTCATTCATTCATTCATATATATATATATATATATATATATATATATATATATATATATATATATATATATATATATATATATATATATATATATATATAATGTACATTTCTGGTTAGCTTTTCGTGCATCACCTAGCACTAGTGGGGGTTGTATAAATATTTTAATAACGTAATTAATTTAATGACTGTTTACTCACAAAAAGTTTTTGGCCACTGACCGTAGATGTTGATTTAAGCTTTATCCACAACAAATGATTTTTTTTTAACATCTCCAGGGACCACTTCACAAAAAATGTAAGCTTTATAGAAAAAAGTTGTGAATTCACCACAGAGACGAACGTCTTCGGGCGAAAAACTTTCACGGAAATCGACGATCTGATCAAACGTAACTTCCTACAGGAGAGCGGCGAGATTCTCATCGAGGTCGAGATGCGCAACATTCACAACATCTACGAGTGCTTCATGCGGCTGCCCAAAGAAGGCAGCGGCAGCAGCCATAGTTCCAGACACGGCTACGGAGACCGGATGGAATCGACGTATTTCATGTTCGGACTCTCGGACTGGAGTATATCCCTGTTTCCGGACAACAGCGTGGCGGAGGCGGACGGCAGCGTGGAGATCCAGCTCCAGCGGCACACCAGCTTCGATCACCTGTGCTACGTCAGGTACCGGATTATCCTCGGCGACGAGGGCACCTTCGACTCGGGTGATTTAGAACAAGTGTTGGACGCGTCTGGAATCGGCGAGCCCTTCACCATCGGGGCGTCGGTGCACCGGCTGTCCCGGGGGAGGTCGACGCTCAGGGTCAAGGTCGAGATGATCTCCGTGGTGTCGGTGAGCGAGGTGTACCTCAACGTGCTCACGCGCAACAGCAACCAGGCGCGCGCGCACTGCTACGACCGGGACAAGCAGGCATGGATGGTGGAGGCGGACACGACCGGAAAATACCTGACCTTCCGGCTTTTTTACACGGATATTTCTCACGTGCCCCGGAAGTTCTCGCGTTACGTCGGGTGGAACATTCGGATGGTATCCAAGGCAACGAACACGCGGCCGAAACGTACGCTGGACGGGCCGTACAGCAAGTACTACGTGCAACAGGAAGTGGACGATGGGTGTGTCATCAGGACGGACGTCTCGCTGGAGGAGGTAAGAAGTGGGGGGGGGAAGAGGGTAGGCCCGGGGTAGGGTGGCGGGGCGGGAGGTAAGAACTCTTCTATCGACTGGTGTATACTGTCTGCTGGGGGTAGGGGAAGCCCGGGGTGGGGTGGCGGGGAGGGAGGTAAGAAGTCTTCTATCGACTGCTGTATACAAATTTGGAGGTGATAGAAGTAAGGGAAGCCCGGAGTGGGGTGTCGGGTCACTGGGTGCTGGGGGGGGGGGGGGGTAAGGGAAGCGGTGCTGGGGGTAAGGGACGTCCGGGTGGGGTACTGGAGTTGGAATTTTTTTACTGTTGCAGTCACGGATGAGCGGTGCGTGAAAGGGGGAACCCTGGGGTGGGTTTGTTGGAGAGGGGGGTGGGGGTGGAAGGGGGGGGGGGTAAGGATTCTTTTATAGACACTTGTATGCAAATCTGGAAAAGAACAACCTGACAGTACTTGATTTCTCTTTTTCTAAGCACACAACCCTGTCTGAAATGCTGATGTTCACATTTGAAGCACATTAATAATAGACATTATATTTATCACTGTAACGTGTCTTTTACTATAACCATCAAATTAAATGGTTAGAGCCCATAGGAAATGCAAGGGTGTAAGGGCAGGGGGTCGCACCCCTTATGCTTTGGTAGTTTTCTTTGTTCAGTAGACTCTCATAAAAACTTAATATAATTCTTCACCTTATTCTAAACCTAACCGTCTGGTTTACTGATATTTCTCTCATAGATTCGCCGATTCTAGATTTTGTACTTAGGATCTAAATATACGTAGAACGATCAGATTTACCAAAGGCCAAAAGCTGAAACACCAAAATGTTCATACAATTGCACATTGCTCATATTTGCATTGATCTAAATCGACCAGACTAATGATTTTACGTTACAAAATCAGATACATTATAAGATCGCATTGGTTGTTTGGTTTCAGAGAAAAAAAAATCTTACATGTATAACATCTATATTAGAATTTAGGGGACGGAGTGGTCTAGCGGTAGAGAGCTGGGACTGCTAACCCGTAAGTCTCGAGTTCGAATCCGGGTTCAAATCACTAGACCGTCCCCAACTCTGATGGGTACCTAACTCATGTTAGGGAAAGTAAAGGGGGATGGACATAGTGCTGACCACACTATCTCTTCATATGCCGAGGTCACAGAAACAAGTGAACTCTACTTCACTTGCCCTATAGACCGTCAGGTTTGAAACGGAAACTTACTTCATTACTTTATTTAACATCCAAATTAGAATTTAGAGCTGCACTTGGAGATAAGCCACGCTCATAAAGATGAATATTGATTGTGAAAATTAGCTTAGCCAAACCAGATTAAAAACTTGCTGTTTTTTTTTTTGTGGTTCGGGAGGGGGAAACAAGGCGTCGAGACAGCCGAGACACATGATACGGGGAGACAGCCGAGACACATGATACGATGAGACAGAAAAGACACGTGATACGGGGAGACAGCCGAGACACGTGATACGGGGAGACACATGAGACACGTGATACGGAGAGACACATGAGACACGCTACGTAGATCCAATTTTATATCTCGTAAAAATCATGGCAACAAAAACATTACATATCGGAATTTTGAAAAAAAAATCAGATTTTTCAAATTTTTTCAAGTGCTTGAAATGTAAAAAAAAAATTACATTGCACGGAAATGATTCTATTTGTTAAGAAATAAAATAAAAACATTACAATTCTGAATGCCTATCAATTAACAGAACGAATCTACCATAATTTCAGCTCAAAGCACCGTTTTCAGCTTTTCTGTCTATCGACTAGATGCAGTATGCCTACACACTATGCGTGTGTCATTTATCCGTCTGATATTTTCTCAGAAATAAAAAAGAATAACTTAGAAATAAGCCGTTCTTGTTACTTAGGAAAAAGATTTGTAAATGAGATTATAACAAAAAAATGGAGTCGAGTTTAAAAATGTTTTAAAATTATGTATTTAAATTAAATTAAAATAATAAATAAAAACAAAAACAAAAACAAAAACACAGCCAAGTGCTGCTAAATTTTCCTCCCTTCACTTCTAAATCCGTTCTAAAGCGGTCGTCTGCCCCAGAGCTTAGCCCTGAAATCAAGACACCTCGCAGACGACGAAGAATTTAAAGGCGGTAAATAATTCAAGGACTTCCCAAATTTCAGATTGGCTCATATAAAAAAAGCGAGCCATTCTCTGGTGGATCAATAATCCACCACTCCACTCTCTCAACACTCTACACGCTATCGTACAGTAATCAAACTCTAGTGAGTAGGCTAGATCTAAACAATTAAGTTATGTGAGGGTAGGGGTGAGGGGTTTAGGTGGGGGGGGCATTCAAATACTGAAGTTAGATAAGAAAAAGTATAATCTATCACTGAAGTTGATGGGGAGAAGTATAATCTAACACTGAAGTTGGAATGGTAAAAGTATAATCTATCATTGAAGTTGGATGTGGAAAAATATAATCTATCACTGAAGTTGGATGTGGAAAAGTATAATTTATCACTGAAGTTGGATGTGGAAAAGTATAATCTATCCTTGAAGTTGGATGGGGAAAAGTATAATCTATCACTGAAGTTGGATGTGTAAAAGTGTAATCTATCACTGAAGTTGGATGTGGAAAAGTATAATCTATCACTGTAGTTGGAAAGGGAATAGTATAATCTATCACTGTAGTTGGAATGGTAAAAGTATAATCTATCACTGAAGTTGGAATGGGAATAGTATAATCTATCACTGTAGTTGGAATGGTAAAAGTATAATCTATCACTGAAATTGGATGGGGAAAAGTATAATCTATCACTGAAGTTGGATGGGAAAAAATATAATCTAATAATGGTGCAGTCTGGGATATTAAAGTTTTACATTCTTTTAAAATACTACAATAATTAAAAACTAAGTTTTGGTTTTCTTAAACGTGATACATATTCCCTTTAGCAATGTAAATCGATAGTTTAGAAAAGGCATTTTTCAAAATAATGTTTTTTGAAGTTTGTATTAAATGGTTGCCGTATTACGTCTAGTTTCCATATATATTGGCAACGTAGAATGGCTTCATTGGCTATCGTCTCGGCCAATCCGATATGCTCACAGATGTTTCTTTGATTAATATTACGTTTTAATGATGAGAATTCGACTTAACAATAATATTGGTACAGATGTTTCTTCAAGCTAAATTATTTTATAGATGGAAATTGAACGCAATATGGTCACAGATGTTTCTTTACCCTACACTATTGTTTATATTATTGATGATAATTCGTTTTGTATGATAGACCATTACATTTTCTTTGAACATAACACAGGACAAACAATCTACACATGTAGATTACAAAAAGGACTAACTTATTATCTATCAGTATCAATGCACATTTTCCAAAATAATACTAATTAAAGAATTTTTTAATGGCCAAGAAATTTTATAAATTGACTAAATCGAGGTTTTTTTAAAATTTATACTAGAATCAACTACTTAGCTGTGGCTATCTATAAATACATACAAAGATAGACAACAATTTGATGTCCATTGTTTGTACGCATTGATTCTGTGTACAATTCATCTGTAGTAGTTGTCCCCCATCCACTGTCGTCGCCTGGACCCCTCTCGCCAGTTGGCAATTAGATTATTTAAAACTACATTTCTATTTCCCTATCTGAACTTCCATCCCCCCAACACCCAACCCACTGTGCACCGCCAAGCTATTCCTCTCCCCCCGCCCCACCCTATTGTCTTGTAGTACCAGAAGACCCCCCCCCCCCCCCCCCCCGTTTAGTGAAGCACCGGATCCATAATCCGTCGCCTGAAGACGACTAGCAACCAGGACAGTTCCACAAACTCGGACTGTTTTATCACTCGATAATGAGCCGTGTCTCGCAGTATTCAGTCACGGCAAATTGCCTCTCAGTCGGCAAGCTGGTCGGCAAGCTCGCTCTCAGTCGGCAAGCTGGCTTTGAAAAGTCCAGGAAACCACAGGGGGAACCGCTGTTACATTAGCGCGGGTCGATTAGCTGGATTGGAAGGAAAAAAACTTGTTCACAATTTTTTGCAATGCTGAAAATTAGGTACTGGTAATTTCTTTGGTAGGTCAATAGACTGTCTTGTAGATTTTTTTTTCGTAGGCATCTCCGTATGTGTTAGTATATGTATTTCTGTATGTGTTAGTGTCTGTATTTCTGTACGTATTAGTATAAGTATTTATGTACATGTAAGTATAAGTATATCTGTACCTGCTACAGAGGCGTTGCGAGGGGGGGCGGGGGGCGGGGGGACATATGGGTTGGAAAAACAAATCGAAAGTTGGAGGGGTGGTGCTACGCCTCTGACCTGCTAGTATATGTATTTCTGTACTTTCGGGGGAAATTTTACCACCCCCCCCCCCCGAAAGAGATGGAATTTACATAGTAAACATACACTTTTACTAGTGTCCGCAACCCCCCCCCCCCCCCAAGAAAAATGTAGACCGCCGCCCCCCCCCCCCTCCCTCCCCCGAAAATATCAAGTGCCATCCGGAGAAAAAAGTCTGGAAGAAACACTGAGTATATGTATTTCTAAAGGTGTTAGTATATGTAGTTCTGTGTATGTTTGTATATGTATATCCGTAAGTGTTAAGGCTAGAATCAGGATACGGGATAGACTGAGCAGAATTCAACAATGCTTTATTCACCCTTACCGACGCAGTAAATGATCTATTTTTGACAGTTAAACCATTTTTGACACTGATTGTATACAATGATTTCAAGCTTTAAAATGTAATGATTTCATGTTTTAAAATGCAAAATTAATTTTATTGATTGAATTCTGAAAACTTCCATCAATGCTAATTAGGAAAGCAGATTAATTTTTTTTAAGTTATTCACAGTATCTATGCTATCCATATTATCAACATATCCACGCTAGCTGTATTATCCACATGCCTGCTACAATTCGTGAATTGGGAATTTCCATGACACCATTTTATCGGCGCTATAATTGTTCAGTGTTTGCTCATTTGATAGGTGAT